ATTCTAATTTCTAGCTTTAATGTCAACTAAGAGCTCCTTGGGTGACATTAACAAACTTCCCGTAAAGTAATCCAGTTTAGTTTTATTAGACAGATCAAACTGGTATTTATTGATGAGTTTAGCCAGGCACATTCGCATCTCATTTAATGCAAACCGTTGTCCAATGCATAGTCGGGGTCCGCCACCAAACGGTATGAACGCATAGGGATGGTGTGTGGGCTCCAGAAAGCGGTCGGGAATGAAGTCGTTAGGGTTGGGCCAGTACTCCGGGTCCCGGTGTATAGCGTAGGGGTATATCTCAATGGACGCACCCTTTGGTATAGTTATGCCTATTGTAAGGAAATATAAGTTATTTTAAAATTGAGTTTTAGATTAAATGTATGTTTTGTATAGCGTTTGCGATAATTACCTGTATTTCCAAGTTTGTAGTCCTGAACGCATTCCCGTTGTATACGGGTTAGGGATGGGGCCAGACGTAGGGTCTCATTGATGACTGCATTCAAGTACTTCAAGTGAACCAACTTTTCGTACGTAAACTCATCGCATGTTTTCAACTCTTCGTACAGTTTCTGTTGACACTCCGGGTGTTGGGATAAGTAGTATATGGTGTGGGTTAGGGCGGCACTGGTAGTGTCGTAGCCGGCGATGAAAAATAGTATTCCCTGTGCTGTGAGCTCATCGGGGGTTAGTGTCCCGGCTGTTGATTTTTTATCGGTTTTGTCACTCGACTCGTCCGAGTCGTTGTCACTACTGATAGAGTTATACCCGAAGTCTTTGTCCGACTTTTCCGAGTCTATCATCAATTGTATGAAATCTGTGCGACGTTTGGCTATAAATATAAAAATGATTTATAAAACTATACTGTATAAAATTTATTTTAAATTTATTATTTTATCCATATAACTTTCTAATTCTAAATTATCGCCATTAATGTATATTTTTAAATTACTAAATAATTTCTGTTTATTGCAATAAACTATTCATTATGAAATAATAACTATTATGACTAGTTAATAGTTAATAATAACTAACCTTGTACAAACTGTAACTAGCATACTTTTACATACATGTTCATAAAATTTATTATTAAATAAATAATTGGTTAGTAAACACTAAGGATGAAAATTACATGTAATTTATTTTTTCACTCGGTAACTTACGTAACTTACGGTAACTTACTGTATTTTTCGTAAGTTATTATTTCATCACATATAAATATTTTTACACAACATTATTAAATAGTGAATATAAAACAATTCATTTTTACATAAAAACAATATAATAATAATAGAATTGTTAATTAAATA